GCAAGTCAAAAAAGAGTAAGAATGAATTTATTACTCATGAAATATATTAGGCTGGGTCCAGGTTAATATGGTTTTTTTTGAAGTAGTCCCCCATTGAGTTATTGGCACTTGGCCCAAAGTATCTGTCAGTCTTGGAGAGTTGAAGAAGTCAAAGACAGTTCTGAAGTCAATGTCAATAGATATGCTCCAGCACACTCAGACTTCATTCAGAACTGTCTTTGACTTCTGAATGAAGTCAAAGACAGTTGTGAATGAAGTCTGTTAATAAGTCAAAACACTGGCCTTAGCTTCAATTTCAGATGAGGAAAAAAAAGTCAAGAGCAAGGTCCAGACTGTACATAGGGTGCAGTGCAATTTGATATTTCGTCAGGCCAAATACTGGGCAACAACGTTAGCAACATGAGGACTTGCATTACCATGGTCTAGGCAGCAACCAGATGGACAAGCTACTCTGGGCTTTTTCATGAAATCTGTTTAGCAAGGGTCTTCAAAAGTGTCACATGATACTGTCCACTAACTGTTGTATGCAGAGATAGTTCATGTTGGTAAACCATTTCTTGGTAGTGGAAGAAAGAAATCATCATCTTTCCCACAGTCTGAATAACCTTGGCCTTCTTTGGCCATGGGAAATGTGTATTGAACCATCAAACATCAAATGTGTGCCATACCCTCTATACAGCCCAGACCGTGCTCCATATGACCTCTTGTTTTGTTTCCTCATCTGAAACTAGAGTTGCAGAGCCAATGTTTCAGCTCATCAATGATGGTTCTGAAGAGGATGTCAGAAGACTTATTCCAGAATGTCTTCCAGGATTGGCAGACACATTAGGCCAAAGTGCATACAACTCAACAGGGACTACTCTGAAAAAGTATCAACCTGGACCCTGCCTAATAAATTTTGTAAGTGATAAATTCATCCTCAGTCTTTTCTGACTCATCCTTGTATATTCAAGTTTCTTTCTATTGTCTGAATGAAAATTAAATAATTATTTCAGTAAAGTAAATATTTGTTATCTGGGTCAAATAGTGTAAATATTTCTATATACTCTGCAAAACTGCTATATATGTACAATGCCTACACACTTTACTTGCAGACTCTTAGGTATAACATCAATAAAGAGAAGATAAATTTTTATTTTTAATTACAATAGGAAAAGACTTATGACATTAGATTTCCTCCCCCTCTAACAGTAAAATCACTTAATAAATACGTAAAATATAACAAGAAGAATACAACCAATTAAAAAGTAAAATACAACAAGTAAAAAGAGCTAAAGAAGGAAAAAAAATTAAGAACTGTATAATAATCATATACAACCATTTTTGAAGTAAGAATACTTATTTATTTAATGAAAGACAACAGCAATAACCAAAGCCAGCAGGAGAGGAAAAGGGGGAAGGAAAGGAGGGTGAGGAGATAGAAAGAGAAGAAAGAATGGATCATGCTGAGTTGCATACATAAAGTTACTACTACCTCTACAATTAATGTTGGAATTTAGTTTTTAGATTGCAAGGCCATGGGTCTAAAAGAAAACCAGAGTTGTAGCATACACCAATAAGTAGTACAGAAACATATAAGCTAGACAGAGTTAAGTTTAATGCTTAAAAATAAAGTAAAGGCTTCAAACTAATACTGAAATAACAGAGAAACTAAGCTAGCAAGCCCTATAACCACCATGGGCAAATGCAGCTCTTTTTGAGTTACATTCGGCTCTTGCTGAAAGTGTTAATTTCTGCTTTTTATTATTATTTTTACAATTTTATTTCCACAATTTTGTGAAAATATGTTTATTAAAAAAATTCAATATTTGTTTTATATAATATTTATATCATATAATAAAATCACGGTACAGAACTGCAGTACAGAATAAAAAAATATAGAACTGTGGCTCCCATGCATTTTGCAAAACCTACATTTCGGCTCCCACAAACCTCTTGCCCACCCCTACCCTGTAAGAAGCTCCATATGACCTCTTGTTTTATTTCCTCATCTGAAACTAGAGTTGCAGAGCCAATGTTTCAGCTCATCTGAAACAACTAGGAGAAACAGCAAATATACTGATAACTAACTTAAAATTAACTTAGTAGCAAGTTAGATTTAAGACAGTATAACTAGTTTTAAGATATAGCTATCTTAAAGTTAACTTATTACTAAACAAGAATACTGACAAGGACAACAACCCAGACAGACTAGAACAGTGTTTTTCAACCTATTTTATCTCACAACACATTTGAACCTATAATTAAATTTCCATGGCAAAAATTTCCTCAGAATAAATCATGTAATTTAAAGTTGTTTGTAAACATTCAATCATCACATTACTTGCCACTTAACCTAATTTTTTTTGTCTATATTTTTATAAATTAAATAAAACAGTATTGTTCTTCCTTAAAATAGCAGCAGGTTACAATAGTTATTTAAATTAATAATTTTCATTTACATAAGAAAAACAATTACATTGTCTTAATTTGCATTTAAAAGTGGCATGATAATTGCCTTTATAAACCTGCCCAATGTCCTGCTATTTCTAAGTTAAAATAATTTGAACTAAATACGGGCAATTATAGATACCTTTTTGATTTAAAGAAAATTTCATTTTAAATGAAATAACCCAGTGTTATGTACACATAATTTTGCTTATGAATATATATTTTCTACTACATTATGTATACATTTATTTATTATAACAATAAAAAACTCATATAATCAATTCAAAGAGGTTTTAATTTTGACATGTACACTTATTGTTGTTTAGGCATCTTTCGAAAATAATTAGTTTAATAACCATCAAAAATTTTCTTGGCACACCACTTTTTTGGTTGAAAATCACTGGACTAGAGCATGCAATGACAAAAGACTTATAAAAATTTTAAAACATTGGTGTCGTGCTCATATTTTTTATAATAAATAAGAAGACAACATGAACAGCAATGGAGAATAGACAAAACAGTACAAAGAAATGACACACACTACAAAAGAACTAGCTGTACAATTAACCTTAACTTGAACTATACAATGTAAACAAGGAAGCCTGTGTGTTATATGTGCCATCAGGGAAAGAGACCACAAAAGTTTTGCAGTGGGATATGAATGAAAGTAAATGATGGTACATTGTATGTGTTTGAATGAGTTACTGTGGTGTACAAGGCCAGTTGTAAGGCATTCGATTGTCATGCAGCCTGCAATTGCAGTGTGGGTTGTCCCCAAGATTTAAACCTATGCAAATATTGCTTAAAGTTGCCGCAGCCTGTAAGAAGCTAAGTGAGATTAAAGCTAAATAAAAAGTGTAGAAGAGTCGCAATTGTGTCAACCATGAGGATAAAAGTGTAGGTGAGCCTACTGGTAGTGTCATGGTCCTGACTGTCTTGCAGAGAATGGTAATTTGTTGTTTGACATGCATGTCAATGTAAGAAGTAGGAATATAACTGAAAGTGCTAGTGACTGTAGACTTAGCAGCTGATTTGGCAAGATGATCAGCAGCCTCATTTCCAAAGACCTGTGCATGACACAGGACCCATTGAAAATCTAATCTGTTGTTGTTATTTAAGTGCTTAAGAAAATGTGATGTATGAGATGCACAAGTTTAATGCAGCTATCAGACCTGGTTATCCTGTGTAAAGCTACCCTACTGTTTGAAGAAGGAATAGTCAATGTGAAGTAAATGTTTAGAATTAACAATATTTTGCAAGTTGTGGTTAAAAAATGATTGTTTAGAAAGAATTAAAAAATCAGTGTAAAAATATTTGAAATATTGTAAGTATTATACAAGGGAACTCTTAAGCTAAGCCAATCAGACAACATGAAACTGTTGTTGTATCTATGGTGTAATAATTGATCAAAATATTTTACATGATCATAAAATAAGTCCTAATATGGACTTAGCAATGTTTGGGTGGCTGGAAAAAGGTAAATTATAAAATTTATTTAAGGTAATGTATATTTTATTAAGATCTTTCACAATTTTATCCAAAAGAGAGGAGACCAGATTGTTAAACAATAATTGAGAAGGGATTGAAAATTAAAGAAAATGGAATGTAAAACAATTTTACACAATATGGAATAGCAAAATCTCCATAAAATTCCATGTTGAATGGCAAGGATTTAACTAGTCTGTCCATGTGATTTTTAAATGAAGGCTTACTATCAAAAATAACACCAAATTGTTCACAGAATAGATATATTTTATGTGATCAGCACAAATATCAAAGGAAGGAAGGAGCAATTGCTAGTTAACTATGTGCTTTATGTTAGTAAAGCATATAGTGATGGGTTTATGAGCATTAATTTTTAAGTTGGTCTTTTGAAATAAATCAAACAATAAATTTAAGTCTGATTATAGAGAAATGGGGTCATGATTTATTAGTTTGATATCATCAGAATTATAACATTTTCTCTGTAGTTATATTATGCACAGGAAGTTGTGTAAATGTTATGATTATTGTTGTATAATAGATTGGTTTTTGCATATATGGATTTGGATTTTGTATAGAGATTACCTTTTTACTGTATTATATTTACTGTATTTGTTTGTTATGGACAATGTTTGTTCAGTATTTTCCTTTTTTGTTCCCCGTACAAAGGGTATTTGTACCTTGTAATAAAATAAATAAATAAATATATAAATAAATATAACATTTTCTCATTTGCTATATAATTAATTCTTAAAAGAGTTACTTAATCACAGATTCATTTAGAAATAAGCTAGTGAAAAAATAAAAAAATAAAAAAGAGGATAAAGATAATTTATTCATTTGCAGGAAGTGTAAATAATTGGTTATTAGCATTATTAGAATTGCTATAATTGTAATAATGCTAACCAATGTATAACCAAAACTGTATTCTGTATTTCAAAATCACCTAAAAGTTTTATAACATCAATTCAAAAATTAAATTTATAAAATAAAAAATATGCACCTTTATTTTATTTTTACACTTCTTTTGGATTTTTATTAGTATATTTTATAAACTTAATAAAAATTTTTAAAATAAAAATTCTTACTTTTACTCCACCAAATAAAGAAAACATTTTAGCCCATTTAGATGGTGATTGTACTTCTGATCCATCATCATCATTGTCTTCAGCTTCTAATAAATTGATCAATCTTTCTGATTTGGCTAATTTTTGTTTTAACCACTATAAAAATAAAATTTCATTAAGTAATAATTTCTATTTTGAATTAAAGTTATATTCAATATTTATTAAATTCTTACCCAAAATGTTTCCAAACATGAATTTACATTTGGAATCCATTGAACAGAAAACTCTTCTAGTAACCTTACATGGTATAATAATTTTTCTATATCAATCCCATCCAAACCATACCAATTGCTTTTATGTAAAGAAGCTGGTAGCTTTAAAATTAAAAACATATAATTATTTAAATTTTTAATATTGAAGTATACAGATGAGAAGAATATACTGAACATGTAGACAGAGAAAAATCTTGTAAACAATATAAAGAAAGAAAATATACTTAAATAGACTATACTCTGTGGCATAAATACTTGATGCAAAGAATATTAGATAGTAAACTTTAGGGCAAATGACTAAGATACCTTCATAAATTTGCAAAACAGCTATTCAATTAAGTTATTCTAGTCTCAAGAGACACCAAAGATTTGCATAACTGGAGAGACATTTCAAACTGCTTTTTTCAGAGCTGTTATAAATCAGTTGGAAAGAATGACTGGTTAATGACATCTATTACAAATACAGATATACTCTATTAAAATCAATATCAGACTATATATTCTTAATGTTTAAAGTCAAAATTATTTTTTGAAGATTTAAATTCTTTATTTTTCTAACTTTGTTCTTGTGTATACACTGACAAAGGAACAGTTATGGGTAGCATTTGTTATATTAATAACCACATCTCAAATCATTATTTAGTTAAGAATAGTTATTAATCATTAACTATTTTTATGTTGTATTTTCTGTAACTTTGTTTAAAATCCTAAATGTTTTCAAAATTAAAAAAAATACTTCTAAAAGAAAAATTGCACAAGTAAAATATAAGTAAAATGTAGCTAATGTTCAAATCAAATTCATGTGAACTTTAACCAAAGTTCTAGAATCTTAAAATTTTCTTTAATATTAGATTGAACTTAATAATGGCTAATTAAATTAGCAAATTCAGAACAAGTATTTTCAGTTATCAATAACAAGTGCTTATTTGTTAAAGTTTTCTTATCCAGTTATTATTTATATTAATTTTTAGTAACCCCTTTATAAATATAATCATATCAAAAATTTCATATAAACTATCATCTCTAGATACGGAATCCTTTGTTTTGTTGATGTATTACTTTTTAAATATTTTTTTGAAAAACCTATTAAAAAAATAGGTTTTTAAAAAATTAAAAAATTAATTTTAAAATATAACTTATTAAATTGTAAATGTTGCTTCACTAGTCCATGATTCATTTTTTTCCTATAAAAATAATAGCAAAATATGTTATTTTATTTGTTATCAATTTAATTAGTTTATTATTATTTTGGATCCACTAATGAAAATTCTATCTTATATCAATTAAAATATTCTTAGAAGAAATTGGATGTAAGACAACAAGATACTATAAAACATCTTATTGACTTCCAGCAATGAGTTTAATACATTAGAAATGTTCTTGACCTATTCATTAGGTACCAACAGATTAGTTTTGTATTCAATCTGTTGATTTATTCAATTTCTGTTGGTTCTAACTGATGAAAACTGTGAATAGGTCAAAAACATTTCTAATGTATTAAACTCATTGATGGAAGTCAATAAGATGTTTTTTGGTATCTCATTATCTTGTATCAGACTTTTTCTGATACAAGATAGATGATCTGAATTACTGTATAACACACCAACAACTGCCATAAATCATCGGGCTATAATTTGCAATAAGTAATTCTAAATTACAAATGAACTTGGTGTTAAGTGCCATCTTATATTAAAATTAATAATTAAATAATTTAGATTAAACTGGAAGAAAAGAATCAGCCCGAAACAGAACTCGAACACACAACTTCTGCTTACTGTGCAGATATGTTGCCAGTTACACTACCAGGACCTCCAGTCCAATCTCCTCTTCCAGTATATTTAACATTAAGCTATAACCATTGTCAGTTACTACGTTGCCATAACCAATTACTACTAAGATATAGCCATATTTAACGTTAAGCTATAATCCACACAAGGCACTTAGTCGGCCATCGCATACCCAGCAAGGCGTAGATATACAAATATATCTCCCTACAAACCCAATATAATACAATGACACATACCAACAACTGCCATAACCTGTAAATAAATAATTCTAAATTATTCCAAATTATAGCCTGATGATTTACAGCAGTTGTTGGTGTGTTATTGCACTACATCGGGTTTGTAGGGATGTTTATATATAGATCTGAATTATTTTAAACAATATAAAATTTCTCTCATATTGTAAGACATCATAAATACATGAAAGAATCTTTTGAGTAATTTTTGTTATAGCAGCTATTGACATTAGATTTTATTATTTGATATATTTATTACAGAGAGAGATGTTGCTATGCATGCTTCTTTTAGACTTACTGCTATAATTATTATTGTTTCGACAGAGTAAAAATGTTTATTTGATTGATTATACTATATAGTTTTACATTCTGGCAAAATCTAAAATAAAGGATGTTTTGCAATTTAATTTTTTGTTTTTGGTGGCATGCTTGGTTTTCATGCATTTGCACACAAAAATAATGAGAAAGGCTTGAAAATATTAAAAATGAATGAGAAATTTTGAATATATACAGTATANTTTGGATCCACTAATGAAAATTCTATCTTATATCAATTAAAATATTCTTAGAAGAAATTGGATGTAAGACAACAAGATACTATAAAACATCTTATTGACTTCCAGCAATGAGTTTAATACATTAGAAATGTTCTTGACCTATTCATTAGGTACCAACAGATTAGTTTTGTATTCAATCTGTTGATTTATTCAATTTCTGTTGGTTCTAACTGATGAAAACTGTGAATAGGTCAAAAACATTTCTAATGTATTAAACTCATTGATGGAAGTCAATAAGATGTTTTTTGGTATCTCATTATCTTGTATCAGACTTTTTCTGATACAAGATAGATGATCTGAATTACTGTATAACACACCAACAACTGCCATAAATCATCGGGCTATAATTTGCAATAAGTAATTCTAAATTACAAATGAACTTGGTGTTAAGTGCCATCTTATATTAAAATTAATAATTAAATAATTTAGATTAAACTGGAAGAAAAGAATCAGCCCGAAACAGAACTCGAACACACAACTTCTGCTTACTGTGCAGATATGTTGCCAGTTACACTACCAGGACCTCCAGTCCAATCTCCTCTTCCAGTATATTTAACATTAAGCTATAACCATTGTCAGTTACTACGTTGCCATAACCAATTACTACTAAGATATAGCCATATTTAACGTTAAGCTATAATCCACACAAGGCACTTAGTCGGCCATCGCATACCCAGCAAGGCGTAGATATACAAATATATCTCCCTACAAACCCAATATAATACAATGACACATACCAACAACTGCCATAACCTGTAAATAAATAATTCTAAATTATTCCAAATTATAGCCTGATGATTTACAGCAGTTGTTGGTGTGTTATTGCACTACATCGGGTTTGTAGGGATGTTTATATATAGATCTGAATTATTTTAAACAATATAAAATTTCTCTCATATTGTAAGACATCATAAATACATGAAAGAATCTTTTGAGTAATTTTTGTTATAGCAGCTATTGACATTAGATTTTATTATTTGATATATTTATTACAGAGAGAGATGTTGCTATGCATGCTTCTTTTAGACTTACTGCTATAATTATTATTGTTTCGACAGAGTAAAAATGTTTATTTGATTGATTATACTATATAGTTTTACATTCTGGCAAAATCTAAAATAAAGGATGTTTTGCAATTTAATTTTTTGTTTTTGGTGGCATGCTTGGTTTTCATGCATTTGCACACAAAAATAATGAGAAAGGCTTGAAAATATTAAAAATGAATGAGAAATTTTGAATATATACAGTATATATATATATATGTCTGAACAATTCATTTATAATTATACTAATTAGTCTACTAAATAAGACTAATTCTGAAGTAGAATGTATTTGAAAACATTCTTAAAAACAGTAATCATCTCAAACTTATGCTAAAAGAATTAAACAATTTTTCTTCTGACAAATTTTATTTTTACACTATTAATAAAAATCTTAATACTTTTAATAAATGATAATCAGTGTAAAATGATTATGTGTCTTCTAATACAAACGTTTTTTTTTTCATTAAAACTAGAAAATATTCAGTGTTTTTTAAAATACTTTTTAAAAACAATATTTATAAAATATTTTTAAAAAGCATTTATGTTAAATATACTTTTATATAAAAAATTTTTCAACTTTAAATATTTGCATATTTCTCTAAAATCTGATATTTTTGTAAAGACTTATTTATATAAATAGAAAAAAATTTTTAATATTAGATGTCAAGAAAGAGAGAATGATATAATAAATTTTATTTTCTAAGTATCAACCTTATGTACAGTACATGGGAATTAATTCAGAAATAAAACATTTTCAAACTAGTTCTTAAATTTTTACATATGATCTATAATGTTATTGTAACATGAAGAAAATAAGACAAAAGATCTATGTTTATCCACCAAAACTAAGAATTTTTTTTTTGTCTAGATTCATGATGATCACAAATTTAGATTGTACACAGCTGAAAGCAATAAATGGTAAAGTTTGACTCAATTTTGATTTATTAGGATTTTAGAACAAATTCATAATTGATATTTCATCAATTATGTACTCTGTCAAAGCTGCCTATGTGCCATACTATTATGTATTTTTACAAAAACAATTATCTGTTATATATACAATATATATAACCAGATAACTAGTTTTATTTGTAAAAATACATAACAGTATCAAATACTGTCAATATTGACAGAAGATATATATCTTTATTACAACCATACTATCATAAGACAGCAATTTAAATGATGTAATCTTAATATGCAATTGATTATGAAGAATTTTTCCCGCATCCAGAGAAAAAAAAAGGGATCCCAAGTGATTCCTATCCTTAAAAATTAATGTTATTTTTACTAACAGAAAACAAGACGTGCTCTATATTAATAAAAAGAAGCAAACATTAAACTTTTTAATGAAACTTTTATAAATTGTTAACTAAACTAGAATATATTTTGCCTTAAATAGGACAAATGAAAGACGAATTGAAATTTCTTAAGAGAATTTTTTCACGTGCATATTAAGCAATCATCAAGTATAATTAAACGCTTGCAATTCATTTATTTACAGTTACAAACAACATTTTCGAAACGTACAGTTTAAACAATAATATATTTATTGAAAAAGATGATTTAAATCTTACCTTTAATAAGTTATTAATGGCAATACCAGTTAATTCGGGTTTTAATTTAAAACGTTTGACAGCATTTTCGTCCCTCAACGAATACATTTCTAAATCTTTATCAAAACATTTGGGTCACATGACAAACTCGGTCGTATACTTTCATTGGTCTGTTAGCACTCGATCTGCGCAGAATCGTTAGTGTTTACGTAATTTCGTATTCGTATAAAATAACCAGAAATCAAAATTTAAAATATATATATTATATATTTGGTCTGTTAAAAAAATTAAATGAAAAATTGTGCATGCCTAGAATTGGTGCACCCTAGGATATACCCCTAGTCAGCATGTTCAGTAATTAGGCACTGACTATATCAACTAATTTAAACAAAAAGGTGTATTGTGATGTTCATAGTGTTCCAATGTTTTTTTGTTTAAGGAAATACTCATTTTTCCCTCACTTATTCATTACCAATAATTATTGGTGATAAAAAATCCAAATGAGTTTAGAAATAGGACATCTTATACAATATATTGTCATCAAGCAGCATCCTCTACTGGGTTATCCAAAAATAGATATTTATCTTCCATGCTAGCCTATATTCTGCTACTATTCCATGCTTCTATTTTCATTACTACCAACTTTGTTTTAAAAATATAAATAATTACATTTTGGATACATAACTTATGTACAGTACCTTGCTTAGTAATCAATAGCATTTAAATATTTTGATATTACAAGAGTTGAAGTAGCAATGATGATGTAAAAGTAAAAACAGAAAATATATCATGATAATTAAATGATGGATAAAAACTGTAAAAGATATCAGATAAAAAAAGAAGTCATTTAAAAAAAATTGGTAAAGCACAAGTGAGAAAGATTATTAATGGTATAATGTCTTTTACTTCCTTTTAAACAACGATAAAATTATAGCTATTACAGGTATCCCTTGATTAATGCAGTTAATTAATCCTTCAATGCTACTGCATATATCAAAATTGCATTAATCAAATACAGTATCTATGTTAAGTAAAGATAGCTGGTAATTAAAACTTCTGCTACTTATATAAAGGGATTGGCACAATTAATTTTGTGCATGTGATTTTTGCGTTGTTGTTGTTTTTATCTTTCATCGCTGCAAGTGGAAGAAACGAACGAGACGAGATCGTAACAAAAACTAAACTTTTATTCTCCTCGCGTACTTGCACATGTCTTGCGTACAGCACATGTCTCGACGACGCGGCTAACAAAGACAACTGGTTTTCGAGGGTCTTGTGGGGTGAGTTCGAATTTATTCCAGGAAGTGATGACTCATACACCCAGGGGTAATTGCTTGTATTTTACAACCGTTAAGGGTACAGATGTGAAGGGCGGCGTTTACCACATGCATTAATCAAATTCCACATTAAGCAAAGGATACCTGTATAACTATATTTCACAGAGCATATATATTACCTTAAACACTTCTGCATAGATGTAGCAATATTTTGTAATACATATTATTGTTTTAAAACTTTCTTTAAAAAGACTGAGTTTGTTTTATAGAAGATCTTCCCTTCTTTGTTCCAATGCTCTGCAGTCATTTCAGCATCATTTTTCATGAGTGATCTGTCCTATACCACCAGGCTGCCTCATTTTGAACCTGGCCAACATCATCACAGGCCATCTGACTTGGCCTGCAATGGGCATGAAAAATAAGGCCCTTTTAGTGCCCACAGGGTAGGGAAAAAATCATCTCAGCATTAGTCACTCACTCAGTACAATCAAGGTTAAAAGTACTATAGTATTTAGATTCTTGGTGCATTCACGGTAGAGCATTTATGAATTAGACAAAAATTAGTGTATTCAGTTACAGATTTGTCTTGGATAATGCAGAACCTTGGTTAATTGGTGTTACTGTATACAATTAACTAACCAGCTGAAATTTTCTTTGTAACTAATACTTTCAGCCTTTTTAAAACATATTCAAGTTTTTACAATAATCAGTACAGAACTAATTCAAAATATCAAAGTTCCATAAATTAATTCAAATAAAAGAATAGACAGCATGTAGAAACAAAATTACAAAGTTTTAATGATATTTTGAATTAATTTTGTAGGAAGTAATGAAAATAACCTGAAAAAGGACCTAATATGAATCACAATCATCATCATAGTCTAGAACAGTGCTGATTAAGAAAAATATAATAGAATCAAGGCTGAGGTAATTTAGTCATGTGGAACAATCTGAATTGGCATTCATAAAACTGATCACAAAGACAATAGTGAGTAGGCATCAAAGGAAAAGTTATCATCAGAAAAGACATAATGGAACATGATGTAAGTATAAAAACTCTCAAAACCTGGAAATGTTGATTAAAAACACTGCACACTATTCATACTTACTCCAGCAGATTAAAATTTAATGGAAAATGTTTGTGTTTCAATGTTTGTGGAACTTTCATTGGGGGAAAGCCTTTTTTTTTACATCAAAACAAGTTACAAAAAATATTTAAACACCTACAAAAATAGGTTTTTTTAAATTATTTTTTATAAGTTAAACAAGGTTTGATGTAAAAAATAGGCTGTCTCACCCAACAAAGGACTCTTAAAGTGGCTGAAAACATTTGTGCTTCCATTAAATTTTAATATGCTAGAGTAAGTATGAGTGGTGTGCAATGTTTTTAATGATGTAAGTGAAAATGTAATGCAAGAGCAGAATGAAAGAATTCATAATACCAGTCCAAATAGGTCAGAGAGGAAAAAAGCTAGAAAGATTGTTTTGTTAATACTGTAGTTTTTCCTAAAAATAATATCTCAAATTTAAAATAAATATATTTAATTATAAAATTACATTTTATATTAATTTTAAATGTTTCAATTAAAAACCTTTAAAATATGATCAAATTAAAAGCATCATGGATGTTGATCTAAAAAAAAAACAACAATCAAAATAGCAACACACTTTTGTGTTACTCAAACAATTCTAATACGTAACACCTTACAAAAAGCAATCTAATCAACTGTTGATTACAAAATTGAAAACTCAGAAAAAAATTTTTCAACATTTTAACACACTTAAATTTGAGTTCCCCCCTTTTTTTATGCACAATAATTGATATTCAAATTCTCAGTGTTAATTCATGATGTAGATGTAATTTCCATTCTTAGAATGCATAAGATGGATTTTCAGATTTTATTATGTGATTTGGCCAGTGGCATGCCATAACATTTGATGATAGGGAAGATGTGTTTCCATAAAAATTTTAAACAAATACTGGAAATGACAAATAGTTTATTTATTTTAATTCTAAAATAGATAACTGACACAAAACAAAGATATGAAAACTTGTTGTTGTTATTTTTTTTATAAACTAACTCTATTCGGCAATTTTTTCCTGCAAAGTTGTTAATTACTTTATCATAAAAAATTGCTTGTTGTTGATTCCACCAAAGTATTTAAAAGCTCTTTTTCATTGAAAGCAATGATAGTGACAACAATCTTTCCTTGTGAACATATCAACTCGCTTCATGGTTGAAAAACTGCAATCAACAGATGCACTCATAGATAGTACCATAAAAATTAATGATAATAAATCATATAATTCTTTTAGTACATCTTTATTCAGATAATCATTAATTATAATATGTTTTATGTCTAAGAGTGGCTTGCCAATATAATCTGGACATGAATATAAATATTGCAATTCACTATGTAATTTAGATAAATCAAAAAATTCTCCAAAGAATTAAAACTTGCTTCGGAAAACTGTTTTTCATAATATTTAAAATTATTAACATCTAAAAGTGATAAAAATTCTAATGATTTTGTGTCTAAAAATCTGTCAATATAATTATAATTAAATATAGCTTTGTAAAGAAACATACTAAAAAATAACATAAAATTTCCTTTACTTTTTAAATCTTAAAACAATCCACTTAGTCAAACAAATAGTTCCCTATGAGTGGCTAATGGATGGAATCATTGGAAACATTATACAATATTTTGGTGTGTAGCATCCATGAGCTAAACCACGAGAGACTGGTGTTCTGTAAAGCACATGTGCAAATGTGTGTAATCCGGCTGCTTTACACGATTTAAATATTTTTGCCATGGAAGCTATCTCATATTTGTCAATGCAATGCTTCCAATGGGAACATGCACATATGAATTTATATTCAAATATGAAATGGCAATCTTATCATTGTTTTTCACACACATAGAAATTTGTAATAAAATACATAATACAGTTATAATAAAATATTAATTTTAAGTACAGGTAACCCCGTATAACACAGCACTTCTATAGCACAGATTCACTCTAGCACGGTTCGAGAATTGGGTAAAACCCTCATACAACATGAAATGTACAGTAATAAAAACTATTAAAGCAAACTTTATCTAATTTGAAATTAGGGAAATCCCTGTACAACAGTTTAATAAATGTGATAAAGCTTTTAAGTTTGAAAGATACCTCATTTGACATTTTTCATTTGAGTGCATATGTATTATCAGATTTTCCTGCATAATTTTTGTGAACTATTAGTACTTAAGTATGTAAATTTTCTTTTCTCGCCTTCTGTTGATACACGTGGTCCTTCTCAAAATTTGTTTCAGTGTTGCCAGATCATGACACTTCTGTTTTTGGTGTTGCCAGATGTTTTTCCTTATTCCATACTTGCTTTATTCTTCACAAGTGCTTAGCACCATAATTTCATAAGTGCTTAACACCCTATAAGGAAATTTATAAAGATCTTTTAACTAAAAGCAAGCAATCTAAAATAACATTTTTTGCAAAAGGTAGAGCATGGATCTGAAGATAATGCAAAAAAATGCTCAGAGGATAAGGATATCTTGCCAAAAAGAAAACACCCTTGGTTAATAGTGCTTAGTGATGACAAAGAAAACATTGTTTAATTTATATTAATATGTACGTATCACTTCTTAAGAAAATTTTAATAAAGATATTTATCTTAATTATGAAAATATAATAGCATGTANGAGGATAAGGATATCTTGCCAAAAAGAAAACACCCTTGGTTAATAGTGCTTAGTGATGACAAAGAAAACATTGTTTAATTTATATTAATATGTACGTATCACTTCTTAAGAAAATTTTAATAAAGA